AAGAAGGCGCATGCATTGAACTGACTGGGTGTCTCTATACAGTGGACATCAGACAGGCTCAAGAAGGCGGCCAGGTGCGCATAACTGTCTGCTGCTTGGTCTCTTGCGAAAGATTACGGAGATGAACGGAGGTCGGAAATATGACGAAGCTGGATATGGTTCCGATAAAGTGAGTTACTGTGGAGCAGTGATGGTCCGGAAAAAAATAATCTGGGTAAGTAGGACCTTGCCCTTGAACCAGTCCCCTCCCATTGACGGCGTTCTCACATAAAGCGATGAAGCTTCATGATGAGCGAAGGCGTCGGATTTCCACGAGTTTTTTTTTCTTTGTTTATATTCACTTTTTTGAAGTTTTTTTTTATCAATCCAGAGCTCTACAGCTTACCGGCTGCGGTCCCAAATTTTGTGATGGGCACCCGTTTTAGGCCATCGGATGTTGGGTGTTGATTTTGGTAGATGTGGGATTGGAGGGGGTTCGAACCGTGGTGTTAACATATTCTTTGTTGGATTTCCACATTCGCTGTTTCGTTGGTTGACCAGCTACTTTCTTTCCTTGGGTGGCGGTGTGAGTGTCTCTCTCTGTGCGGCGGTGGGATGGATGTTCGTTGGACAGTCTGAGCTTGAAAGACGGGTTCCTGTCGTCGTTTTAACATATTCTTTGTGGGATTTCCCCGTTTGCTCTTTCCTTGGTTGGACATATATGTTCTTCTGTTGGACACGTACGTTCTTTCCTTGGGTGGCGGCGTGATTGTCTCTCTCTGTGCGGCTGTGGGATGGATGTTCGTTGGACAGTCTGAGCTTGAAAGGCGGGTTCCTGTCGTCGTTTTAACATATTCGTTGTGGGATTTCCCCGTTTGCTCTTTCCTTGGTTGGACAGATATGTTCTTCTGTTGGACAGGTACATTCTTTCCTTGGGTGGCGGCGTGAGTGTCTCTCTCTGTGCGCCGGTGGGATGGATGTTCGTTGGACAGTCTGAGCTTGAAAGGCGGGTCCCAGTCGTCGTTTTAACATATTCGTTGTGGGATTTCCCCGTTTGCTCTTTCCTTGGTTGGACAGATATGTTCTTCTGTTGGACAGGTACGTTCTTTCCTTGGGTGGCGGCATGAGTGTGTCTCTCTCTGTACTGTCGTGGGATGGATGCTCATCAGATGGACTGTGCTCGAAAAACGGCACCAATGTTTTTCAGGACGCATTCTGAGATGTGTGATGGGTTCGTTTGGTGTGGCCGCAGTCTAAGATGTACTATGGTGTCTTTTTTTTTTTTCTTCTTTTTAATTTTAAAGATGTACAAAGTGTTTTGGCCCCTTTGGGAGCTTGTCAGGATCTCACTATTCTGTTTTTTTTTTTTTTTTTTTTTTTCCTTTTTTTTTTGAAACAGGAATTGTCAGAAAGTTCATAACTCGACGTAATTCAGAAACCTGTAATAACTTATAAAGTTATAAGTTAATAATACTAATAACTTGTAAAGTTATAAGTTAATAACACTAAGGTCAGTCCTTCGGAGGTCAGTCCTTCGGGACATCTCCACTAAACTTTTGGAGCGATACAGAGGAAGGAGATAATTAATCATGACCCCTGACCTGTGGCTCAGTGGTTAGGGCACCGGTTGTCAATGCGCATTCTGTGGTCTGAGGTTGTGGGTTCAAAACTCCGCAGAGTCCGCACCTCTGCGCAGAGACACCGGCAGGAGTTTACATAACGCATGGGCACTTGGACACCCCCTTTGGCTGGATGCTGGTTTTTAAGCTATTACACATACTGCCTGCGCACCACCCAAGGGTTAGTCAATGGTTGCTTGAGGATGTTGGGGGTCTTGATCCTGCGCGGGTTGGTTGAGATGTTGGCTGTTGGTTGTTGTGATGGTCTCCTCATGCTGGCACATCGTACTCTGGTACCATTTGGGATTGTAGCACACACTGTAGAATGCAGCTTTTACACGATAATGGATACAGCTTCGAGTCTGGCTGGGGACTTCTTTTTTTTTTTTTGGGCGGGGGGGGGGGGGGGGGGGGGGTGGGCGGGTTCCAGCACAGATAGGTCTATTGTACACAGCCCACATATGGATACATATAGGTTGACGAGCATGGGTAATAGACACATCACATACATTGCACACATACACTTGGTACACATACACGTAACCTCTGGGCACACACACACACACACACGCACACACAACCTCCTGATGAGTCAGTGAAAGTCCGACGAAACAGTCTGTTCGGTACAGTCATGCTTTTTTTGAGTGTATAGCGAAAATATGACAACACACACACACACCATATGGCCAGGATAGGAAGTCTCTGCTAGGGTCTCATGGGCTCAGGTCTGGGGCTACGGGGAGTCGTCAGATACGGTCTGTGATGTCTTCTGGTAAGGTATTAGGATTGTCAAAAAAAAAAAAAAAAAAAAAAAAAGGATTGTAGGTGGAACGGATAGAGATATTGCTTGCGCCTGGTGTCTGAAGTACCAGTGTGACAAGGCTTGCGCGACCACGCTTCCAGTGGGGCTGGGTACGGACCACCTAGCCCTGTTGCCGATAACCACTGTTCGGTCGACGTCATCCTCTAGGGGAGGGTTGATAGTCCTGAGTGATTGACACTCAGGTAGGATAGTGGGAATGGGCCTACACTGGGAGAAATGTCGTGGGGTTGGGTAGGGCGGTGGTTCCACGGACAATTGTCAGCACAACCACTGGCTGATGATGTCAGAACGGTACTCTAGGAGGCGAGTCCCTGGGAAGATTTACCGGTGTCGGCGTGGCTGAGTGCGAACAAGTGGGACCCTTGAAGTCTTCGGGTCGGCCTAGGGATAGGCGTCATGGAATACTACTCTACTAGTAGGTAGTACCGGGTCCAACCTACCCCTGTAGCCGTCCGCTTCAGCGTGGATGTTCAACCAGTGGAAGCACCCTATGTAACTATTGGACAAATTGCTTTCCGGTTCAGGTTTACCCTGGGAAGATTTACCTAGGAGGCGAGTCCCGGGGAAGATTTACCAGTGTCGGCGTGGCTGAGTGCGAACAGTTTTCCGCTGTACACCGACTCATCAGTGCTTTGGTTCCGTTGATTTCAGGTTGGGGAAACTACTTTTTTCTTATACTTGGGCGGAATAGTACCAGGTTGGGTGGCCTTTCCGGGAAGCTTTCCGGTTCCGGCGCTCCTACGATGGCCTACGATGGCAACCACCGTGGGTCGGAATCTGGCCTCGACATTAACCTGGACTTCTATGGAAAATAAAAAGAAAGCAGAAAGGATGAGATACATAAATCGAGAAATGGTCACAAAAAAAAAACAGAAAAAAAAAGAAAACAGAAAGGGATGATATAGATAAATCAAGAAATGGTCCAGAAAAAAAAACACACTAAGGTCAGATACTCGTAGAAATGATCTGACAGTAGCGCGATTTTTTTTTGAGGTTCAAAATCTGTTGACATCACAGGCTTGCATCCTCTGGACATCTCGTAGAGGCTTGTACCCTGCGTGGATACTGTGCCAGTACCGGTGGGCAATTTTGAGCCCACGGAATACAAACCGGGCAATGTAAGCTCTCCAAGAACAGGGCTTCAGCATTCCATCCCGGCAGATTTGGTCCCTCCCACCCGTGGGATCGAACTTCAAAGTCTTTTGAGATGAGATAAGCCTATCTCTTCTTCTCTTTTTTTTTTTTTTTTGTGAAAACTTTGTCTTTTTAACAATGCCGGGAAACGGGCCCAGCGTCCCTCACAAAACATCAACAGCCCCAGGCTTGCTCCCTGCTACTCCGGCCGGGTGCAAGTCCGGGTTGATAAGCCTATCTCTTGCTGTCTGTCTCTTATACACATCTAGATGTGTATACTCTCTCGCACACACACACACACACACACACACACACACACACACACACACACACACACACACACACACACACACACACATCTATTGCGCTCTCCTCGCGTGGATTGTTTGTTTTCTCTCTCTCACACACACACACACACACACACACACACACACACACACACACACACACACACACACACACACACACATCTAGTGGCCTAGGGAATTACGCAGTGATGTAGACACCTACAAATTTGGCTAAGGGGGTATAACTTGAAATAAGTAATCTGACTAAAGGGAAAGGCGGTCGCATCCATGCTTTCCGAGCATGAACATTGCACCTGTACGACCTACCCCATAGGGAGTGGGAGCATTCCGGGGGGACCACCAGCAGGAAATTTTGGACCCACAGAATACAAATCGGAAATTGTAAGCTCCTCAAGAACAGGGCTTCAGTGTGGTTTCATCCACCCTTCTGTGGGGACCACCAGCAGATTTGGTGCCCCCCACCCCCTTGGGTGCGGAGTCCTCGGAGATACCTCTATCATAGCACCACTTACTCGACGTTGCACCACCAACCACACATTGCACTGCTTACCCGACGTAGTGCCACGTTCCCTGCTTAGCACAGCCTACCCAGCATATGAGCACCGTCTGTCCACAAACTACCACGCAGCCCGCATACCACAACCTGCTCAACATAGTATCACCCAGTCCACATAGTAGCACCTATCACCCGTGCCCCTTGTAGCACCATGTACCAGCCCAATGTAGACCGCCTACCCTTCAATGCACGACCTATTGTCCCCCACCTACCCCCAAAGCACCACCTATCCTACATAGGACCACCTGACCCACAACATAGCACCATGTACCGGACATAGCGTCACCTACCCTACCCGGTACAACTCAGTGCACAGCATTGCTCATGCCACAAAGCACCGTGCAGTCCATATAGCATTGCATGCCGCGGATTGTACCCACCGAGTCGACATAGCACTGCCTGACCCACATGGTGTTATATACCCCACATAGTACCCCCATAGGCTTGCGCAGCCCACATAGCACCACCCACCTCAAGAGAGAATGGGAGGCTAACTTTCGGCTGTCAAATCGAATTTGTGACGAGAGAGAAGTGACAAATATCACCTGATAGAAACGTTTGTGACATTTTTGTCCTTAGTGGGGAGATCGGAGAACTGATATACTGCGGTGCATGAATCGGAAGATCGAGTGCGTAAGGCTAAGGGCCTCGCCACACCACTCTCGAAATGTGAAAAAGACAAAAATGTGGCGCGTGCACCTGGCCATCTTCTAGCAGGAAGTTCTTTCTCATTTTTGCACATTTCGAGAGTGGTGTGGCGATGC